AGAGCTCCTACGTGGGCGGGGCGCAGGGCACGGGGGCCTGCGGCTTCGTCCTGCCCGCGCCGTACGTGCCGGGCCCGGGCGGGAGGGGCCTGCGGGGAAGGGGATGACTCGCCTCTGTGTCTGTTCCTGAGTATCTTGCATTGCACTTTAGCTTCTGGCTTCTAGAGGTTTGCAAGCTTCTGCACGGAAACAGTGCAGGAACCTCTAGTGTGCTGTGTATATGTGAAGAAGTAGGACAGGAGTTTGTTAGTTTTCCTCATGTCCTGCAAATGAAGAACGGTTTGCATTCTGATTGGGGAAGGGGGATATTTAGTGCTATTTCAACAGTTCTGGGCTACTGTTTTCTCAGTTAAGTAGTCTCTGAGAAGATTCTCCTAAATATCCCGTACCAGGTATGTTCTTACTATTACTGTTCTGTGGACATCTTGTGTTGCCCTTTTTTTTTTTTAATATATATATATGTATATATACACACACACATATATATATATTTCCCCACTAATCTTATCTCTTCAGTATTCCTGCTTCTCACTGTTTAATCCATGAGGGGAACGTGGTGGAGCTTCAAGTCCTGATCCGGCAGCAGGACAAAGATGAATACAAGTAAGTTTGCCTAAAGCAGAAACACAGATTGCGCAGTAGCCACTGATTTCAACACTGGAAACTGGCAACAGCTCAGTCATGTGCTTCCTTTTAAAACTGCCCAAAATAGGCATCTTGGCTTGAGGCCTTTGCCTAGTATGTTCAAAATATTTGCTCTTTTTACTTGTAATTATGTTCAAATGTATAAACCTAAATGAACAGGAAAGGGTTATTTTTAACAGAATTGGATATAGCTTTGTGATTAGGTTTATCAAAGATTTCTGATATTTGCATTAAATTCAACAGTTGTAATTCTCACTTTTTTGTAGCTGTCCTTGTTGGCTGCCAGTTAAAAAAGAAAAAAGTCTCATCTGAAGTCTTTTTTGCCTTAAGTGCTTTAAAGACCAGGTGGGCTATGCAGTGAAACTTGGAGATTATCCATTTTCTCACCCCTTGAAAACATGAGTCTTCTGCGGCTTAGATCATAGTTGGTGTCTGAGCAGTAATATTTTAAGACCAAGCATCTATCTAGGAAAGTATATTGTTATGAAAGCTACATGTTACTGAAAGTGACTTTTGGCTAAACGGAAGTCGAGATGTGAAGTGTGGATCAAGAGATGGTGTCTCTGATGATTTTGGTGCAAGCTACCTTTTTAAAGAGCATTCAGAGTTGTTCCTTTACTGGCTCATGCAGCTCAAGTCTTGTTTTGTTCTCCGCTAGGCTATTTTATCGATGCCTTAAAAGTAAGTTGGATGGGAAGAAATGGTGTGGAAGCATCCCGTGGCAGGTATGAGTGTACAGTTTCTACTGGAGTATCTGCTTTCAGAATGACTCTTTGTCCTCTAACATGTAATTTTATCTGAGATTATGTAGTAAGGGAGTTTGGACTTTCTTGCCATCAGCCTGCTGTTCTCCAAGTGAGACACTTGCTCTTAAGTGTGGTGTAATCCATGTTTGCAGGGTTTGGTCCCTACCTGTTTCCTTTTCTTGAGAAAGGTGCTCTTGGGATTTGGTACGATGGGAATGGCAGAGATGGTGGAAAAGCAGCGGTGATTTTACAAGGAAAGCAAAAAAGGATCAAGTGCTTACCCTGTCCTTGTTAAAATGATAGGAAAGGTGATGTTTATAGAGACCAAAATCCTGCTTGAAATAACTAGGTTGCGTGCACAGTTAGCAGTATTTCATAATTTGTTAGTGTTAACTCTACTTGTTTGTATTTCAGGATCCAAAAGCTACCAAAGCACCAAAAAATGTAGAATCTCGGCCTACCACAGCATTTCCTTTCAATCCCAGTGGCCAACGAAATCCATTCAAAGTGATAGACAAGAATCGTGAGCCATCTTCCTGGGTACAAGTTAAACAAGCTGGTGGAGAGGAAAGCAGAGCAAAAGAAAGGAAACAAGAGAAAGAGAGAGTGCTGGTGTCAGATAAAGAAAAGAAATCATCCTTGGACTTCTCCACAGAGAGAGAGCCTCTAGAAGTACTGAAAGCTGAACAGAAACAATGCAAGGGAAATAAAAGTGACCCAGAACTTAAGGAAAGCATCATGTCTGAATCTAAAGATAGAGCAAAAAAGGTCCCTCGGGATGAAGAGAAACATGCTGACAGTGACAGGGAGTCTAAGAAGTCTTCTGATTATCTGGACAAAGAGGCAGGTGGAAAATCCAAGTTCTTTTCACTAAACCTTGGAAATCAGAGCACAAGCGCCAAGCATGTGAATGAGGGGCAGCTCAGAGAGAAAAACTTAAAAAGCTGTGGGGGTAAAGAAACCAAAGAGGAGGAGTGTGCTGTTGGGAAGAACCAAGACACGAAGAAGGAAGGAGCAGAGGTGGCGGCAGCACCAGCCCAGATAAAAATGAGGCCAGAGCTGGGACAAGCATTTCATGGTGACAGTGGTGAAGCAGTACTTGTTTCTTCCACATCCGGTGAAGGGGAACCTGAGAAACTGGTGCTGGGTTTGCAGTCAGGAGAGGTGCTGCCAGGAGCTTCAGGGAGGAGTAATCAGGGGGCAGCTGTGCCAGGAGCTGCACCATCGCTTTGCCCAGAAGGACCACAGGATCCTAAAGCTCTTCACAACCATCTCTTGGTGCAGCTGAGGCAAAAGAAGGTCATTTACTACGGTTATTATTCCTTTTTCTTCCATCCTCAGGGTAACTTGAGCATAAGTCACCTTGACTACTTTCAGGTAGCAGAAGGCAGCATCCCCTTACAGCAATACATTTCTGAAATGTTTGGAGTTTTGGTGGGAAAATCCAGCATAAGTGCAAATTATTTCTTTTAAGCCATATATGAGACAACTCTCCTCAGGCAGTGTAACTTTCTGTCTTTAGGTCTGCCCAGTTTTCACTTGCCTGAGGTTGTCTGCCTAATACCTAGGAAGCAATTTGTTTAAGATGGAACAGTGTGTAACAAACTTGAACCTTCTTAACTGTGATTGTTTCTCTCTTTTGGCCTTGTGGGGAAGGAGTTATGATCCAACCATGAAAATTCAATACTGTGGTGAAGTATGCTGTCTGTCTGCTTTTTCGTTTTAGTTGCCAATGCTCCAGAGTTTTTTATTAAAAAATCCCTCCGTTTGCCCACAGCTCAAAACAGAACTTTGAAATGAACCATTAGAAGTGTTCCTAATAGCACAGAGAAGTGCAGGTAGCCTAGATTTTAAATGCTTGGAGAGATGTTAAAAGATCATCCAAGTAACTTGTTTGCCTGTCCAGTTTAACAAACAAGTGGAGGCCCTGTGTCCTTCCTTGTTTTCTAAAGTACCTTCTAAAGTAAATCTTTAATTTATTTTCTGCTAAAAGACTTTTCCTTTGGAGACTGTAGAACTGTGTTAAAATCTGAAATGTCATGTGTAAAAGATTGCCATTTTTAAACATCTAATGTTCAGACATTACATTTTTAAACATCTGACCTTCTGGTTGTTCCCTGCAGGCAGCAGTGTTAGAAAAGCATGTTCAGGTTTTGGATGTTTTCTTGTTTTACAGAGTACACTGGCTACAGTGAATGTGCAGCTCCTGCCAGATAAAGGGGAACGGTTATTAAAGCAAGTGCAAGATTTGGAAACTGCACTCAGTGCTCTTAACATTTCACCAGGAGACACTACAGAAAAAGGTAGGACCTCCACCCCCACACCTTGAAATTTAGCAAAGCAGTTTGCCCTGCTATGGTTGTTAATGCTCTAGAAAAATAGCATGCATTTATCCATGGTATGCGGGATCTGTTGAGGCACAGTGTTTTTGTGTGTGTGACAGGGGAGGATGGAGATGGGGAGGGGAAGAAAATGAAATGAATGGAGGAATTCAGATGTTTCCTCTGTGAAGGAGGGTGGCTTCCACAGAGAGTTTTCTTGCATCCTTAGGACCCAGGACTTGTGTTTGGGGTGTGTGATTTGAGGTGATTGTCTGTCTGAAAACCTGGCAATGAAGCATTAACTTCCTCTTTAGCCAACCCTGCTTTTTATCACAGGAGTTTGTTTTGTCTTTTGTGACCGGATGTATGAGTTGCTATGTACAAGATAAGTTGCTTCCAGTGTGATATTCCCGTAAAGTAATTCCCTAATTCTAATTACTATTAAATCAGTTAGGAAATAAAGAGGCATTTTGTTGAGCTGGTTGCACTGTCACCTAAATAGTGGAATTATTTTGTGATTATGCTATCTGTTATTTTGATGGAAAAAATCTCATTTGTCAGCTCTGGAAACCAAAGCTTTCTAGGAAGGAAAACCTACCACAGAACAAGCAGTTCCAATGTCTTGTACTATGCCTGGTTTTAATCAAGAGACACCCTTTAGGAAGGAGAGAATAGCTCGGGATTCTTCACGCATTCCTTCCTGGAGGTTTCAGTCCTTTCTTAACCCAAGCATTGGCAAGGAAGGTCTCTACCCAGAATAAATTCAGTGGGAATGATACACAGGACTGGCCTTGTGTGTGCCTTGTGCCTGGTCACCGCTGCCAAGTTGGCTGTGTTGGTATGAACCTCACAGTGTGCTCCATTTCAGGCAGGACTCAGTGCCCAGGATTTAGGCGTAGGCTCAGACCAGGCATGTGAACAGTTGCAGTGACTCAGCTGCTGTGATAACCTGCTACCCTGCTGTTACTCAGCTGTGTGTGACCACCTAATTAGCTTTTGCAAGCAGACCATTGAACAGTGGTCTGGAAAATAAAGGCTTTAACAGAAAACTCTGAGATCCACTGTGAAACTTTCTCAACCTGCAATCTCTTTCTTCTTGAGGGGAGGATAGTGCAAGGAGTGGCTGTCCCAAGGAACCTTCACCTGACCCCCGTGGCAGACCAGGTGGTACAAAGCTCATAACACCGCTTCCATGCCGGGATCCTACAGCAGAGACCTCTTCGGGCTCGAACCGTCAACCCTCTGCTACTGCAGCTTTGGGGTCCAGTGAATATCACAGTCATGGTTTTGGAAGTAAGTATGGGAAGATGTTTTTTCATTAGGGAACACTGGTGAGCATTACTTCTCAGAGGAACCTGAAACTTGTGCATGTTTGAGGGTACTAAATCTTTTCTGTTAGAGAGCTGTATGCTGTCCCCATGGCATCTGTGGCCACTAAGGCTTGTCTCTGAGATTGAAAACTCTGCTTGGTGACTTAGCTTTGTGAACAAACCTTACCTGTTATACCGTGTCTTTCTAGTGAACTCTGGCATGCAGAGTCTGTATGGAGGAAGAATGACAGAAGACCTAATGAGGGCTGTACACAGTGCTACAAGTGATGCTATTAATCACCTTCACAAGTCTCTGGAGTCCTGTCCCACAGAGCAGACAGTGGCTGAAGATCCCCCTGGGTTGAAGGTGAGTTGGCAAGAAAATATATTTTCTACTGAACTTGGAGGTTTCTTTCTTCTTGACCTAACTCTAGTTATGAGAAGTAGTTTGTCAGTGTTGCAGAAGACTGAGTCTATATAACCCGATAAATTCCTGATTTGTCTGTTCTGATCTGCTGAAGAACAGCTCTTGGTCTCTGTCGTGGTGCAGAGCCCATTTAGAAGGTTGCGTGCGAGGTGTTGGAAGGTACATGCCTCTGCAAGGTGGTGCATATATGTTTAGCTGTCATATCATTTGACAGATTCACTTGGGACCTTTCAGCACCAGGGCAGTCTTTTAATGTCATATGGTGCTTTGCTTCATGTTTCCTAAGAAGCTGTAGGAGTCTTAGGCTTGATGAGGAAGGAGAAAGTGCTCTCAGTCTCTCCCTCCTTGACAGTGTCACCAGTTAGGTGGATTTTCTGCTTGATAAGCCACTTCCTCATGTTCTCAGGGCAGTGTGAGACTTGAGGATGGTTTGCGTGGGAGCATTAGTGGATCTAACCCTATGGTGTTGGTGGCCTCCTCTCTGCAGGAATTGCTTCTCTTGGGTGTCCCAGTCAATGGGGGACAGCGACAGGTAGACAACCTCCTTCTAGTAAAGCTGTAGTAGGACAGCTCAGCTGCATAGTTTCTTATAGAAAGCAGGAGAGTCTGTGAAAGGTGTTTCCTTTGAATCCTGTCTCTCACCTTCTCAGGTTCCACTGCTGCTGCACCAAAAGCAAGCGCTCGCATGGTTACTCTGGAGGGAGAGCCAGAGCCCGTGTGGAGGAATTCTAGGTAGGCAATGGAATGGGGAGGGGGGCTTGGAGGGTGGATTTATGCCAACAAAATCTTGCCACAGTTGATTATTAGTCTTAGTGTAAGTTATTTGTAGGCATGTACGCTTGTTCTCGCATGAGTTTACAGTTATTAACCCACTGTTAAATTGTGCCCTGAAATGGTCAGACTTCTGCTTCCAGGACTTCCCACAGTACTTTCTGTTGTATTAGCTGTTTCAGAGTAGATCTGAGTCCTCATGGCCCATTTCTGCAGGTAGTCACAACTTCTATCTGCCTCTCTCTTTCCAGCGGATGACATGGGCTTGGGGAAGACTCTGACAATGATTGCTCTCATTTTGGTTCAGAAGAAACTGAAGACAGGGAAAAGGAAGGAGATGTTAGAAATATGGCTCTCCAAAAATGGTACAGAATTGTTTTTATTATATAGTATATGTGTTATGAAATGGTGCCTTATGAAATGCCTAAAGCACTCCCAAACTGAGACTCTTTATATGTGCATGCTTTCTGTAAGGAAATTCCATTAGGCTCAATATTTCCTGCACTCCCTTGCAAGGCCTTTCACTTCATCAGTGTCACTTGTTCTTCTAGTGGTTGCGCAAGATTCTGCAACCTTTCTCCAATAGGATTTCAGGGTGTGGTTGGTTGGTATGTTTGTTTTGCTTTTGCTTGTTTGGGTCGCTTTTTTTGTTTTGTTTTTTATAAATTGGTTAGCCTTCTGAACTGGTTAAGCTTACATTACATAGTTTTCCTAGCGTGAAGATTTGCATTATTAATTCCTCTTTCCCTGTGGTTGCTTTTCTGTTATGGAGGTAATGGACGTTAGAGCGCTTTTAAGAAATTGTCTGGTGCCTGTGTTTCCATATCTGTCACTGTCTCCATCTTCATGTAATTGGTCAGAGCTTTGTTTTAGCACGTTAATTGGCTATATAATTTTTTTATGTCCTTCAAAGTGGTGATAGTTTTCTTAAAAGACAAAAGATGCATTTATTTGGAACTACAATTTCAATGAAAATCAGGGTTAGTTCCTTACTCCTGACTTTTCAAATTACTTGAAGGAGTTACACAGATGTATAGCGTAACTCTCAATGGAGATAAAGTGATGCTTTTAGTGCTTACTTTTTTTTCTCTCAGAACTAACCATCCCAAAGAATACAGTGTGGATAGGGCTGCTTTGCAAACTGCACTTGTAGAAAGGGTGTACAGATGTTCATTTTTTTTGACTTGTTAAACTTGTGTCTTTGTTGTAGTCTAACGTGAAGTACTTGAAAATCTATTTGCAATGTTTTCCTGCAGATTTCACCGTAATCCCCTCCCACGGCACTTTAATAGTCTGTCCTGCATCCTTGATCCACCACTGGAAGAAAGAAATTGACAGACATGTAGGCTATGGCAAACTGAGGGTTTATCTGTACCATGGGCCAAGCAGGGATAAACATGCAGAGGCGTAAGTGCAAAACTGTAAATATGAGCAAGAGATTTCATGCACAAAACTGAAATTCAGTGACTCCAGTATGATGGAAGGAACCTGAAGTATGGAAAGGTGGAGGATCCAGGAGGTCAGACTGATATCTGCAACTAGGATGCATTATTGTTAGAATTTAGATAGCAAAATTATAACGGTCTATACTGATGATGAGTGGTTCTGGTTCAGACTGTTGTTCCATTGTTTACTTTCTCTAAAATTAGTCTCTTGCTTATAGAGACTGTAAGTGGCAGTTTCTTCTGTGCTTGTTCTTTGTGTGGGTTCTTTCCTGCTTTGTTTTTTTGTTTATTGCTTGTGACAAATTAGCTACATGAGTAAGTCAAAGAAAACTTTCTGTGCCACTTTGGCCCCATTGAGCAGTGTTTTTGGGCACCAAGTTCTAAGTCGTGAGGTGTGAATCCAATACCACTGACTTTGGCTGTCATTTTGAGCTTAGTGTTTAGCTCCGTCTAATTTCAGCATCCATTAAAATGGGTCCAACGTGCCATCCTGTGACTGCTGTGATGCTCAGCTTCCTGTGAAACCTTCATCTGTTCTAGAAATGTGGTGGTGTTAACCTTGAGCATGTGTTTTCCTTGTCTTGCAAAACAAAATCCTCTTTCATTCTTGCTCCTGATTTATGCTTCCCTTTACGTAGGCTCTCTGAATATGATGTCGTCATCACAACCTACAGCATTCTCTCCAAGGAGGTTCCCACAACCAAAGAGGAGGGGGAAGTCCCTGCAGAGGACCATGATGTGCAGGTGAGAAACTGTGTTGTTGCCATATTTTGTTCCAAGGTAGTGTGAGCCCTCCTTATTTCAAGGAGCACTTTTTAGTACAGTGAATGCTGGAGTGAAAAAGAAATTTTTTCTTTTTCATTTGTGTGGGTTTACACAAACAAAATGATGAGAGAAAGTGCTGTGAAGTGCCAAAAGAAGATGGGGAAAACACAAATATTTTTGCAGTAGTCTTAAACAGTTCAATAATGCTTGGTGTTGTATTAAAAAAAAATTAAAAAGAACATGATGATGAACATCTCTTCCTTGCAGTGAAACAGTAAAGGAGCACTAAAATCTCCTGCTTAGTGCTCTTTGGTAGGAGAGCTAGTGTCCATCTAAACTACGAGAAGCCTGTCACACTTGAGCTCTAGGCCAGTGTGAACTGAAATTGAGGTGCTTAGCATCCTGCTGTCTTAAAGAAATAGCAGTGTATTTGCTAGGCTGTGAGACGGATAAAGCAATTCAATACCCATTGAGCTTGGTTACAAGAATGAAGGTAGTATGCTCTGTATCCAGGACTTTGTCTTGCTTGGTATTTTTGTTACTTAGCTCTGTGTATGTATCCCCTTGCAGCTCTTAAAGCAAATAGTCCTTTGAATTTCTTCAGTGTTACAGGTAGCAGTTGTCCCTTTAAAACTGTATTTAGAAGCGCAGGATATGCGGCAGTAGAGTAGGTGTATGCAGTCCTTTGTCCCAGCCCAACAAAACTCGACTGATCCAGAATGTTTTTCCAGAGGGAATGTAGGGAAAACAATAAAATAGAATAGACATTCTCAAAAGTAAGAAAAAATAGCAAACGATTATAGAAAATGTCGTGAAGAATAGGCTGGCATTATCCTTCAGTTTATTAATGTTGAGGGAAGCTCTGGAGAGGTGCTTTACTGAGGAAGAAGTGCTTGTGGTAATGAAACAACAGGCTCGCAACAGGAAGTGTGAAAGTAAGAGCTCAGATTACTGCTGGCCACTATAAGGAAAAGGCATCTTGCTATAGAAATAATCTATTGGCTTTTGACTTTTTAGAGAGTCTAGGCAGTTTATTGCTCTGGGTTGCAAATTGAATTTGCTTTCTCTTTCAGAGTGGATCACGTCCCTGTTCCCCTCTGCTCAGGATAGCTTGGTCTCGAGTTATATTGGATGAAGCTCACAATATTAAAAACCCGAAGGTTCAGACCTCTATAGCTGTGTGCAAGGTGAGAGCCACTGCGAGATGGGCCATGACCGGGACACCAATACAGAACAACCTGTTGGACATGTACTCTCTGCTGAGGTGAGATGCCTGCCTGTAAGAAACGGGATGGGGTTTCTGGTAGCTCTACAATGACAAAGTGCCTCAGGCTGCTTGTAAGTTGGAGAGGCTTCTGAGACATAAGGGAGCAGTACGACTAGTGCTTTTAATTTTACAGGTGTTGCGTTATAAGCTTGTTGCTGATGCAGGCCGCAAGCCTGCGCATGTGCTGCTAATCTGTTGCTTGCAGCTGCTCTGCTTTATAGGCTCAAACAGGAAATCAGTTGAAGTCTCCTTTGTCTCCAAGATGAATACCCACAAACCCAATTTTAATAAACAGATTTAAAATTAATTTTCAATTAGAAAAGCACACATTTTGAAATAACACACAAACAGGCTTTTGGCAAATGCGTGTGCTGCTTCATATACTCTGGTTGATGGTGATGCTTGAAAGATAATGAGTTAAGAGGAAGATGTGATAGATACAAAACTAGGAATACTGTTTCAAAGGGTCAGATGCTAAGACTTTTGAGCAGATACGTTATCAGTGTGCTCGAACTGCATGTTTAACCACTCCTAGCAGATGTGGCTGATGGAAGTGTGTTGCTTTGGAGAGCAAAGAGGTGGGGTTTGGTCACTCAGGCGTAACTGAAGAACTTCCACTTGTTCCCTCCTGGTGCAGGTTTCTGCGTTGCTCTCCTTTTGATGAATACAAGGTGTGGAAGTTCCAGGTAGATAACAACACACGGAAGGGAAGAGAGAGACTCAGCCTGTTAACCAGGAGCCTCTTATTACGGAGAACTAAGGACCAGCTAGATTCAGCTGGCAAGCCCTTGGTAAGAACCTCAACTAGAGAATCATTCTATCATTTTCCATGCAGCAGCAAGCTGTTAGTTCTTGGCACACCTGAGTCTGTTAGTGAGTAGGTTTTCCTATACCCTGCAGTCACTAGAGTATGAGGAGCAAGTGTCTGTGGGTTTGATTGTTTATCCAGAAAGCAGAAATACAGCTTTAATGTGACTAAGGAGCAGAGTAACACCTTTATTATAAATCGCCAGTAGAGCAGTATATGTAAACTAACTGCAAATAGACATCTGCTTAACAGAAGGTCTAGGTCTGAGAACGTCTAGATCTGAGAACAGAAGCTGCTGGGCATCGAATGGATCTGGTGCAAGTTGGGACTTTGATTTCCTGCATTGCTCTTTGCTCAGTTTAACAGGCTGTTTGTATCAGGTCAGTGGTATGTTTGCAGGATTGTTTATGGTACAGTTCTGGTGCACTGCCCAGCTCTGAATGGGAAACTGGGAAGCTACTTCTTCCCTGCCCTCCCCCCTCCATCAATGAGTTAATCTTTCCACAGTAACTATGTGACAGGCTATACTAGATTCTTTTTGCCTTTTGTTACAGGCTGATTCGGAATATAAAAAATTAATATCATGAGTGTTAATCAGGCTGCTCAGAGGTCTACAAGCATCTATATTTTGACATAGTTTAGAAATGTTAATAATGTGAATGAAGAAATGAATTTCTGAGGCCTAGATAAACTCTTGAAATCCTGGTGTACTGGCATTTATGATGCTCCAAAGGTTTTTGCACTGTATACATCTGATTTGCTGTATTCTTACTTTAGGTATCTCTGCCACAGCGTAGCACTCGGTTGCATCAGTTAAAACTTTCAGCAGAGGAGCAATCCGTGTACAATGTGCTCTTTGCAAGATCCAGGTACGAATGTGGGAGGAGATAGGGGGTGTGTGTGCTGTTTGCTCTGTTGCTCTTGCTCTGTTGCTCTGTTCGAAATGGGAAGATCTTTTGATCTGTTTTCTGTTAACTTCTTCCCTTTCTGACTATCTGGAAACAAGCTTGAGGCACTAGTGTAAAGGAAGACTGATATATTTTACCTGAATTTTTGTCTAAAAATGTAATGAAACCTGTGCCATCCCTTGCCTTTTTTTTTTTCTCTCTTTTTTTTTCTCTTTAATCTCTGTGTCTCTTTCAACATTGTCTTCTTTCTGGTTGAGTATACCTTTAAAGATGTCCATTTGCATTTTTATGAATAATGTTGTCTGGTAACTAACTCTTAATATGCTCAAAGTCTTTTGGTAATAAGAATTTTCCTGTGTGTTTGCAAAATAGATCTTTCTTGAGATCTTTTCAGCTAAACTTGGAGACTTCTAGAGACCTGAGGAGTATAAGAGTTCAAGAAATACACTGAATGGCTGATGAAACCCTATTTACCTCAATAATTCATCAACTTGTTTGCTACACAGGTGACACTTGCCTTTTTCTTGCTCTTGGAAATCCCACTGTCTCTGTCTTATTCTCTTCCAGGTCAACACTACAGTCCTATCTAAAACGACAAGAGCAGAAGAATCAGTGCAGAGAGTACTCTCATGGAAACCCATTCGAGAGAGGTTTGAACACCCTCCCCTAAAAATATTTTTAGCAGGGCCCTGTTAAGTGCCTAGATACAGAAGGGGAACAGACTTGGAAATTCCTTGGGAAACATTTTGCCGCTGTTTTTACGGGAAATCTTGCCATAGAGCCTTTGGGTTTGAAGTGTTGAGGTCATGTCTGTCTCCTCCTGCTTGAGTTTTAGGAGAATTCCGGTTCAAGTATCGATAGGTCTGAATCTGCTAGTCTGTGTACTTGCTGTGAGTAGTAAATGGAGGCATGATTAAAGGGATGATAAAGTAATTGCTGGAGATTACAAATAGACAGTGTTGGGTAGTGACTGAAGTGACTCCGAATCAGTATTCCTAAGGTGTGTCCTTACTTTCACAGCTCTGGGCAAATCCATTAACCTGTTTGTGCTTAAAATTCCCTCCTGAAATAAAGGAGAGAGATCTCGGAGAAGAAGTGTCAGTGATATTGTGATACAGTGATGCATAATGTATGTGGTATTTAAAATTGTTAATTATTTTTTATTTTGATTTATTTTGATTTCTATTTTATTATTTTAAAGTCAGGTTTGATGGTTTCCTGCATTAAATCAGGTTCTGCTTGCCCTTCTTGGTTCTTGTCTCTTGATTGATCTTTTGCTGGAGGTGGCTGGGCCAATGCTTGGAAATGCCCCTGAAATCTCCCTTCTCTTGGCAGTTGCACAGGAGTTTGGAGCCAGTCAAAAGGAACTTCTGGCAGGCTCCCAAAGTGTCTCCCAGGTCTCAAGTACCGTTCACGTCCTGTCTATGCTTTTGAGGCTTCGTCAGTGCTGCTGCCACCTCTCCTTACTGAAAATGGTATTTGCGTAGTTCTGCATTGTGGGTTGGAGGTTTTTACTGTTTGTGCCACACTTCCGGAATGGAATATGGGACCACAGAGACTGTCAGTCTGACCCAAGAGTGTGTTTCTTACAGTTCTGCATTCACGTTGCCTGGGATGGCTTCCTTCAAGCCCACTGACCTCAGCAGGGATTGCATAGGCTGAAGATGGCTACTGAATTTTATCTCAGGCTTGCCTGACATCTCTTATTACATTATGGGCTGTTTTTTTTTTTTTTTATTATTATTGTTTTCCCTCTGCAGGCTCTGGACCAAGCTAACTTGACCAGTGAAGGCCTTTCCCTCTCCCTTGAGGAACAACTAGGTGCTCTGACCCTGTCTGAGCTTCAAACTGCCGATTCCAAGACAACTGTCTACCTCAATGGCACAGCTTTTAAAGTGGATCTGTTTGAAATAACCAGGGAGAGCACCAAGGTATTCTAGTAGTGATTTTGTGCACTCTCTTAAGAGACTTAGGTTTCAGCACTTCAGCACACTGTAGCTTGGCTGCACTGATAAATTGTCCCTGCACATTTTGAGCACTGGATCCAAAGAAGTTCAGAAAATATGAACGTGAGTGCATGCTGTTTATGAAGAGCTAGAGAGAACGGGATTGCAGTGAGAGGAGAGGTGGCAGTGACCTGGCTGCTCACAGGGGTTGGAGTCTATAGCAGGTTAGCCTCACTTGATTTGTTACCATGTTGGGAGTTCTTACCAATGACCTATAAAGCATTTCAAAGTCTGAGCAAAGCAGACATTATGCTTGCTTGGTTTCTTTCACTCTTTCACCTATAAAGCATTTCAAAGTCTGAGCAGACATTATGCTTGGTTGGTTTCTTTCACTCTTTTTTCTAGTAAAGAGTAGCCAAGTACAAGCTGGACTGAGAAAGCAAGCAGACTGACTGTTTTCTTGCAGGTAGCTCACCTCTTGAACGAACTGAAAATCATCCAGAGTCATGCAGAATCTCAGAAAAGGTTAGCAAACTTGCACTTTTGTCATAGTGTTTGAGAGAAGGCGTGTTTTAACAGTAGCAAGGGTACCTTAAAACAACTGAATACAAAACTCTTGGTATGATAAAATGCAGCACCATAAAACTGATCGTGAGAAAAATCCAAGGAAAGACAAAAATAAGAGCTGGAACTCTGAATGCAATTTAAGAAGTTGGTAACTGTAAATTAAGGGATCAAGCGAAGAGTCTCAGGCCTTGAGAGGCCCAGGAGGGCTTTTTCTGCAAAAACAGATTGGGGAAGAATTTGATAATGCTGAAAAATATTTGACCTCAGCTCTGGTCAAGAAAACAAATAAAGGAGGAAAGAAATTAGAACCAAGTCTGCAATAATTTAACATATTGATCACATGGTATTGAAGTCCTGCAGTTCTTACTGTACAAGCTTTCTTGGTCTTCCTTAGCACACAATTATTGAGCAAATTACTGCCTACCAAAACGCTTAATGCAGAGAATGTGAGGAGTGAGAGGATCGGAGAAATCCAGGTTTGGTGTTGCTGTTGATTAATTTGGTGGAAGATACTCTGATAATGTTTGTGCTGACGGGTGGCAACATAAAATCCGCAAATAAAGTTGAGAGTCATAGACTTAATTTGTCTCAAGCTTATAAGGTGTTAGCCTTCCAC